AAGATTTGGTAAATAATGGATTTGAGAACTGGCCATGTTTCTAAAGTATCTTGCTTTCTTGATGTAGTTTTGATAACGAGATATTACAGTTGGGAATAAGATTTGGAAATGAAATTATGGGAGGTCAGAGTACATCTCTGTTTACCATCAAAGCTATTGAAGTTAATGAAAGCTAAATAATCATAAAATGTTGAGTTCCACAGGTCTTTTCTTATGCCTCATAGTCCAATAGGTGTGTTAATTCTAATGCTCTTTGGTTTTAGTCTCTATAAGTCTAAAAATCGGTTGAGCAGGTTTTTATATCTTCTAAACTTCTCTCAATACAGCCACTTTACCTGCTAATTGGAAATAAGCCGTAACACTCCCTATTCATAAAATATGATCTATAATCTCTGAATAACACCTTTGTGCCCCGCATTAATAAGAAAGCATTTTCAATTTCCGCGGATCCACGTCTTATGTTCACTTACAATCGCTAAAGGTCTCGAGGTGAATTCACGAATATCTAATCGTTACGTAGAAGCTTTATCTCTTACGCTATTTTGGAATAATAAGGTAAAAGTATTAAAAGAAAAAAAATGTGGTATGAAATTTGAAATCTCTTTGAAGAATTAAGGCTTATAAAGTAGAACTCTAAAAGTGTAGATGAAAGGACGTAACAGTAATGCGTCAAAAAGTAAATGTATCAAAGGATAAAGCTAAATTAGATAAACATGAGAGCAATTTAAAAATACCTTGATTTCAGTAAAAAAATTTTGAATCTGTCCAATAATTTAAGATTAATTTTGTTAATTGAAACTATAGAAGCGCAATCAATGTTAGTTCTATGTTAAAAACGGCAACTTGACGAAAAATTAATGCTTTTGCTGATACACCGGGGTAATACTCCGAATATTTCAACCTCGCTCCACGTGCAACTCTCCCGAATAACCGCTCGATCTCTAAGTGGGTTAGACATTTTCATCAATATGTTCGAGTATCCGCTCAACGAGACACCGCGCCTAAGCGGTTGAAGTATTGTGTTAGAGCTTTCAAACCATTATGAAAAAATATTGGGAATTCCATCCGTACAAAATAATTTCCGTGCAAAAACTCTCTGCTATCGCATATTTGCCTGGATCACCAAACGATAAATAGAACTATCGATTTGGAAATCGACTAGGGCCCCAAGATTAGGGAGAAATTTACTTCCTAATCTAATTTATTAGAAATTTACCATACTTGGTTAGGTTTTTGAATACCTTTTCTTTTTCTGTCAGCATGTTTAAGTTCTTCGACTTAAAATGAAGTATTGGTTCCTCGACGCAGAATTCTTTGTGGCTTCTGATGATTTCCACCCTATGCATTAACTGCTGTGTTATTTCGGATTCAATTATCTTTATTTTCGTTGTTGAAGCTGATTATTATTTCTATCCGTGTCAGTGGGTTTAGTGGGCCTTTCTTGCTTCGTGCTTTTAATGCTGAGGTATAATATGTCTATCTTCTGGGTATTCAGTAAAATTCTCCAACAGTATCAATTCAGCGTATCAAGCCACTTTTATGATAAGTCCAAAAAGCTGTTTTGGAATTCGCAATAAAGCTTTCTAATGAAACTTTACAGCTTTACAACATATCACTGTACGGATAAGCGTTTCATATCTCTGTGGATATTTCGAGATCTTATGACAGGTAACAGAGAGTAGAATACGCTGTTTCCGGTGGCTATTCGTTTTTGTATTTCATCGGTCTCATCGTTTTGTATATTTATGTTGCTGCCCAGGTAGTCGAAGTTGTCCACCACTTCGAAGTTGTAATCCTCGATGGTATCTCCGTCTCCTGCTCAGGGTCAAGAGTTTAGTTTTGTTCTCGTTGATCCTTAATCCTACCTCTCTACTGACTCTTTTGAGGTTTCCAAAGGTTTTCTTGACCATCTGCATTGATCTGCCAAGGATATTGAGATCGTCTGCATATCCCACCACTTGTACAGATTTGTTCATCAAGGTAGTGTCCAAATCGACTCCAATTCTTCTTATAACATACCTATTCAAGTGATATGTTGAAGAGTATGGGGGCTAATCCGTCTCCTTGTTTCAGTCCCGAGGACACTTTGAATTCGCTTGACAGTTCCTCCTCTACTTTTACTCGGCATGTGTTATTTGTCGTTGTGAATTTAACCAGCTTCACTAATTTTGATGATGTATTGACATCGTGCAGAGCAAGCTGCTAATATCTACTTCATGAATTGCAAATGCTTTTGGATAGTAAAAATACGGTTCAGCGTAGTGTTTCTGGATGTACTGACAAAAGTTCTGGTTTGCAGTTCTTGAGTTATGGCTTCTTCTATTATCTTCTTCGGGAGTTTGCTCTTCTTAATTTTTTGTTATGTCTTCTACTGCTCTTTGTGCATTATTTTGTTGCGTAGATCACTTGTGACTTCATCTTTTTTTTGTGCAGTATTCTTCTCCTTTATTAATTTTCCCTTTTTTATGGATAAACCCAGATCTTTCTCAGTTTTTCAGCCTCTGAATTGGTATAATGTTAATATCGTTATATATAACTATATCCAAAGTTGCTTCGTTTCGTCGCTAGAGGACGTAAATGTTAGCAAAAAAAATCTTTTATTTTTTATAACTCGAAAACGCGTAAATCAATTGAAACCATTTTTCAGAAGTGAGTTCTTAGGTTCAATTAACGTGTTTTTATGGTTTTCGATACAATTTTAGAAACACAGGAATGATGGAAAAGTCATGTGTTCACCAGATATTACTCCTTTTTTCTTTTCTGGCCAGTCGGCGATTACATTATTATAATTTCTGAATAGCCCATTTAGTTCTAAACCGTTTTTGTCTCTTATAAGATTTTGATTACATAAGTGGTTAAGCCAGAAATGGTTAAGCCTGTATAAATACAGGGTGTCTCACGTAACTGGTTCGTTAGAACTTTATTAGGTTCCACTATTCGTACAAGTTTGAAATTTGAGTAGCATGGGTTGTTCATTCTAAACTTTCAATCTAAAATATTTTCAAGATGACCACCACTTCCGGTCTACCGGAAGTAGACCACAACTTCGTTATTTTAAATGGAATGCTATAGTTTTTATTACACCTTTCAATTGTACATAAAAAAATATGTTGACTTTGATAAAAGTTGTTGGTACCTACCATTTTTTGTTTTCGAGTTATTTTGATTTCAAGCTTTTTTTGGCAAATTTCACCATGCTCTTTAAAAGCCTATATCTCAGTTAACGTTCATTAAAAAAAACCTCTAAATTGGCACGATTACTCTTCAGATGTTGCCAAATAGATTGTCATTTCTTGTATCAGAGTATCTTATACAGGGTGGTCAAAAATTGAATTACCGTTTCTCCATATTCAATGGCTAGAAAGGCGAACATTTTAAATGGAACACCCCGTATTTTTTTACCCTATCAGAAAGGGAATTTAATTCTCTACAAATTATCTATAAACATTCCTATATTTATTTATTGTAGTTTCTCTCATATTCGTAAATTTATCAAAACATGCAGAAAATGCAGGAAACCGTTTGTATTTTTATTAGAAGGCCATGACATTTTGACAGTTTCTTGTTTAATTTATTTCTATTATTATTTGTAAATTTTGTGAAATTTTTCTTGTACGAAAGTTTATTACATTCGCCATCAATACAAAATAAATTTCAAATATCGGCGGTGGAATATTTTACCATGATGTTCAATAACTTACACCCGTCGTCAAATGTAACTAATGGCAACAATAATACAAACATGGACCAAAAACTGTCAAAATTCCATAGCTTTCTAATAAAAAAAACCTGTATTTCATGCATGTTTTAATAAATTTTGCAATATAAGGCAAACTACAATAAATAGGTATGGGAATGTTTATAGATAATTTGTAGTTAATTAAATTCTCTTTCTGATAGGCTAAAAAAATATGGGGCGTTCCATTTAAAATTTTCGACTTTCTCGCCATTGAATATGGAGAAACAGTAATTCAATTTTTGACCAACCTGTATAAGATACTCCGATACAACAAATGACAATCTGTTTGACAACATCTGAAGAGTAATCGTGCCAAAGTAGATCTTTTTTGAATGAACTTTGGCTGAGATATGGAGTTTTAAAGAGCATGTTGAAATTTAACAAAAAAAGTTTAAAACCAAAATAACTCGAAAACGAAAAACGCTAGGTACCAATAACATTTATCAAAATCAACCTATTTTTTTACGTACAATTAAATTGTGCAATAAAAACTATAACATTCCATTTAAAATAGAGAAGTTATCGTCTACTTCCGGTAGACCGGAAGTGGCGGCCATCTTGAAAATATTTTAGATCGAAAGTTTCGAATGAACAACCCCTGCTACCAAAATTTCAAATCTCTACGAATAGTGGAACCTGAAAAAGTTCTAACGAGCCAGTTACGTGAGACACCTGTATAATTATTGTTGTATTTTCTGATCTTTTTATTTTGATACTTTGTTACTGCTGTTCCTGGTATCTTCCATTGCAGCATACAAAATGCTGCAAGATATAAGGCTTATACAATTATGCACATATGTACTATTTTTCGTGGATTAAATGGTAATTAGCAATGTAACTAGGAATAATTAAAAAACCAAATTATTTTTGAACAGTAAACTTTAAATAATGTTTATAAAAATAGTATAATACTATGCTACAAAAAAATCCCTCTAAAAATGTAAAATAATGTTATACCATTTTTTAATAATGCAACCACCACATTCACCGAAAAATAGTAGCTACACCTATATTTAAAAATTTTTAATAACCCTTTAAAATTTGAAAATATCCACCTGAATATTTAAAAGTATATTAATAATATTTTATTCACGTGCACGCACACGCAACAGTACCTAACAGGGTAGCAAAAAGCTCTCTCCCTGTTCACGAATCAACCCCCAGGTTCGTGTAAGTTCGGTTTATGCCGGTTTGCGAAAGGGGATGCGAAGTCCGGGTGGAGCCAGCAGTCCTGCAGTGTTCCCGCAGGATGGGGATGAACGTCTCCCGGTATTCCCACCTGCGTCCCGGTTGTTCGCGCACAAATTAACAACGCGTTTCATGATTTTCCCCAGCCAAATAATTTTCACATTTTTCAAGACGTTCGATAATCAACAAAAAATTCATTAAAATTTGTGCAAAAAAAAAACCTTAACAAAAATTTTACAATTTTAAAATGCGCGGATACATTCTTTTAAACGTGTTTTTCATTGCGTCCTATTCTTGGTTAATTTGTTTGTGTACGGATTCTTTTGATACATCTTTTGAAAGTGCAGAAGCTAAAGAAGGTGGCATCGGAAAGCTTCCTTGCGTTTTAACTCCGGTACATCCGCCGGATTTAGCTAGTTCAGTGGTGTGGTTTAAAGAAAATTCAGAAAAACCTTTTTATAAATACGACGTTAGAAATAAAAGACCGTTACAAGAGGATAATGTTAATAATAAGTATCGTTTACAATTGTTAGATGAAGAACGTGCAGAACTTAGTGTTGGTTCCGTTAAAATGTCTGATGATGGTGTGTATCGTTGTCGAGTAGAATTTGGCAGATCGCCAACAAGAACAACTTATGTCAATCTCACTATTATAAGTAAGTAGTATTCTTTTTCATTGAGTGCAAAGTTAATTATAAAATTTAAATAATTAAATTTCGTGGGATTAAATAAAATTGATTAACAATGTAAATAGTAATTAAATAAAAATTGTTTTTATCTCAAATAATTTATTAGAAAAGAATTTAAAGTTAATTAAAATCAAATATTTAACTTAAATTTTTTTCAAATTATTTGTTAAAATGAAAGCACAAAACTAGGTTAATTTAAAGTTAAATGATGATTTACGCAAAAATCTCTTTAGTAAACTTACACTAAATGTTTCAACAGGTTTACCCTTAAAGTCATAGCTAGTTTGTACAAGAAAATCTATAGTTGGAAGGGAAAACGGAACGGCGTCGTTTGTGATGGCGTTAGTATTTATCTTTTCCACCCCTTTCGCAATTTTATCGCTATTTTATCGTCCAATCGGTCAAGTTAAAAAGGGGTCAATTCACACTGCTACCCAGCTCTCCATAATGATATGCTAAACGCGCCATTTACAGCCTTGTATTTTTTTACACTTTTACAATATTCTTTTATAACGGGCGACGTAAAGTTTTTATTACAGGCCGAGGAGGCCCTCATTTTTTATTAAACGTAATATATATTTTTACGATTATTCGAAGCAAAAGGATGAATATCCGTCAACTTGTTTATTGCCTAAAAGAATTAAAGGATTAAAAAAACAATAGGTAATTAAATTATTTATTTTTTTTTAGATTATTTGTTTTTATATCTATAATAAATGGCGATAACTTTAATACTATGTGAGTATATGTAACAATAGTTTCGTGCAAAACATAACCTTGTGTAACGAATTGCGTAGATAACAGTTTAAATTGAATGGAGGGGTCTCTACATGATTTGCATATATAACACGAAACGACGCCGGAAGTGGTTTGGAATATCAAACGACCTCTAACAAGACCGATCGCAACAGGCAACTATGAGCTTTCAAGTAGGACCATGCGTCGCCATATGAAATAGTTCATGATCTAAGTCATGCATATTTATATTTTGACCTACTAGATATTATCAAAAAATATTAATAGTTAAACGGTTAATTACGCACCTAAGTTTTTTTTTTAATTCTATATCAAAATCACTCAAACAACAAAATGTCAAATGAATTGATGATTTATAAATATCGTAATAAATATTTACTCCTTCTCATTTCTGTGAAATTGTTTAAATGATATCTTGATAGTATATAATGAGTACATGTTTCTAAACACTATCAACTTTTCTGATCATTTTTATTTGTGTTTTTTTACCCCAACCTTATCAATTTGCAAAAAAGAGATGTATTTGAATTTTATATATTCTTGTAAACGTGTATGTTACATTCTGTTTTAGTAAGTTCTACTTTTAGTTCAACAAAACTATACAATAATCTAGCGCTGAGTAACAACTAAAACTAGAGTTAACACCTGCACTAGAACTAACACTAGACCTAGAACTTGAAACATTTCCTGAAACATGCCCTGAGTTTCTTAAGACGGCTAAATCCGAAACTTTCTAGTTCTAGGTTTAATATTAGTTCTACTTTTACTTTAATAAAAATATACAAGAGAACAACTTGGGAAATAACCCGAGTTGTATTCTATCTATGAACATTTATATTTAAATAACTGATGTATTAAATAGAGAGTTATATCGAGGTTTTACTGTAATATGGACATCCATATTGGTAGGCTTCTGCTTGTTTATTTTTATACGTCCTCTTCGGAAGATGAGGTCTAACATTCTCGCCATCGTTTTGGTCGTACTTCCTGTGATCTTTTTTCTATTTTCGTACTAGGTTATTTATTTTCGCGTTTTTAACGAGTCTGTCGGCTTGCATTCTTTTTATAAGTTTATCCCCGAATCTTCGTCTCTCTCTCCCATCTTCCTATGTCACATGTTCCGCATTGTTAACATCATAGCATAAGCGACAGAGACAAGTCCAAATACAAGCAGGACTCTACAAATTATGAGAATAGTCGCAATGAAAACATTAAGAAGATTCTCATCCGATGCGTGCAAACTACGATGTCAACTCTGAAAATACTAGTAAGTGTCATTTTGGTTATAAAGACGTTCGTCGAAGTTTGAAAAAAAATTTCAGAATATTTTCATTTAGAATTATGGTTGATTTTTGACTGAAATTGGTCAAAATAATGATTACCTTAGTTTTCTACAATTGAAATTAATTAACGGTCTATTTATAGTAGTTACGATAGGCTTTAGAAGAAAGAGCACATCCTTGTTATTGAAAATCTATCTGGCATTGCGCAACGATCATAACATTTTTCAACTTGAGACGCTGGTAAACAAAACTGACCTTACTCAACACGCTTTGCTGGGATGATTGACATTTCAAAAGAAAACTAACCTTACCCAATATTCTTTCTCGAGATTATTGACATTTGTAAAGAACCTTACCCAACATTTCTTAGCTGTAAACTAAAGTAACCTTACCCAACAAGTGTTTTAATTGATATCTGGCTAAATACAACGTCGTCTATATTTAATTCTGAACATAAATATTGCCTTTTACTGTTTTGACAGGTGTAATGGCTTTCATAAAAAGACTAACATCATTAAAAACTTTTTGAGGTTGTTTATTTGGAGACACATTTTGGCTTGAAAGCGTTGACATATCTCATATCTGTTGACACAAACCCATAACAAGTTTGCTTCTTTATGGCATTGCGCACAAAAGTTCCGGAGATTCCCAGAGTATTTAAAAAAGTTTTGCTTACAAAAATTTTTTAGACAAAGTAAAGTTATGTGTCTACTAGGTGCTATTTGTCTTTTCGATTTTGTCAATTTTATCTCAACATCTGATCGAATAATTTCTGTTTTTATATCTCAATTTTTCTTTTTGCTCCAATATTGGATGAAAATATCTTTTCTAGTATTCCCAAAAATGATTTTAATACAATTTTTGCTCCAGTGTGCTCAACCGAAGTCGTGCTATAGATCTTTTTGTACTATGCCAGGATTCTATTTCTAGGCGTTTAGTACGTTTTTTCCAAATTTATCTTTTCTTGTAACTTAATATTGTATTAATTGTTTTGGAAATCTTTCTTTAGTTGTTTATGCCTTCATGCTATTTCGTATCACAGTCAATTTCGTACTGCAACAACAATACAGTCGTATCCGATGCATTGTAGATCGATGAGAACCTAATTATTATACAAAACATCGAATTAATCATTACAATATGTAAATTAATAAGTTAATACAGCAATAGCAAAACATTTACTTGCCTTCTCGCTCAGCAATAAAATAAAGACAGCATTAAAGTTTTATATTTAATTATAAATTTTATCTCCCCGAAAAACCACAATCGATTAATTCAACCAGTTCATTTATATTCCCCCTATAAAGGGAGATCTAAAAGGACTTTTCCGCAAAACCGCAAAGCCGAGAATCGTTTTATTTGGTTCGAAGGACTCAATTGATAGTTTGCGTTCGAAACCTTAAGCAAAACGAAAAACGAAAAGATAAAGAGACATAAACGGGAGGGCTAAAACTCTAAGCGAAACCCAAATCCGTAATCCCGTTGTTGTTTTAGAGATGTTTTCGGGAACATTTTCGAAGTTAGAGGTCCTTCTCGTACGAAAATTTTCCACTTTTAATCCTATTAAAGTACGAAAATGCGAAGGACATTAAATAAGAACAAAACGGATTCTCTCTTCTCGCTACTTAATATAAGCTTGGATATGCATAAGCTCGAGGGAAAGCGCGTGAAAAATTAAAAAAAAGCGGGATAATAACGCAAGCGCCGCCTGGTAGTGGTGTGAAATCCCGACAATTCGAAAATATGGGGAGTTTTAAATTTTTAAACACACGGTGGTGGTGCGAAAGAGAGAAATTACTTGTGTACAAGGGTTTTATTTAAATCGAGATAGATACAATTTAAAATTTTTATCCCATTTTACGTTTTTAACCGCTGTCGTTGACCTTTTATGTGAAACCCGAATAATCAAACGATTTTAGCACTCGATTTTAACACACATACACATTGGAACCGATATTCATAAAACCAATTAGATAGTTATTATCCTGTATAAAATTTCCTTTTACAGGTGGTTCATATTAAATACGTGCGGATTTTGATATTGTTGAAATTAAATTTATATAGTATGTATAAAATTAATTTGCGGGAAAATTTAATTACAATAATTTACATTTCCGGGCAAAGATGTGAATCATTTGAAATCATTTTAAGCTAGGGGTAGATTTAATTCGTGTTTTGGCAACTATAGGAAACTTAAACTTAAGTATACTCAGAGTACTAGTGTTTGTCCGGCTTCGGGATAACGACAGCAACCGAAGTAATTAAAGTGGGAGACCGTTCCCCCCTTTCCCATATAAACACGGGCAAACGACAAGTGGAAGGCCATTAGTACTAGGAAACTTGAATATCTCAGCGTGGAAAATACGCGACGCGATACAGTTTCCCCCCGATTAAAGTTCTAACCCGATTTTACCCCTATATGGGATAACACGCCATACACATAGGGTTTATGTTGGATTAAATGGAGATATCAATAATTTTTATATAATCCCTCTAGTTTTTCAGTTTCAAGTTCCCACTCTCTTTAATTTTCAAATGCATTCACATTGTGTTTACACGAAACACAACAACGTATGTTAGTGAAAAAAATGAGATAGAAAAACAAGGAAAAACACGGATGGCTCGCGATGTGTAAACCGTGACGAACCCCTCTGGTATACTAAAAAATACTCACTACTATAAAAAAAGCATACTGAGAGGAGAAAAAAATGAAAAGCGGCTGAAACAAAACAAACACATTTTCGATCGAACGAAAACCCCGCTTCGAATTTTGTTATAATTGCTATTTCCCCGCACACAAATCGTGTAATATCTAGACACTTTTTAAACGATTTTTTTTAGAGTTGTAGCTTATATTTTAGTTTTTAACCCTTATGTGGACAACCGAAATTTTAAACGTTTGATAACTGTTGTACCCGGGTAGATTTT